TGTGTAGGGTTTTTGCTTTATATATTTATTTATCTATTTATTTATAAAATTCAATAATACTATAAACATACTGGGGATGTTTGTATTTCTCAGTTGACTTAAATGGCCAAGACTGTATAATGTAACCCAAGATAACTAATATTTTTAGTAAGAGCTATTAGTTAAACTTTTTCAGTTGAAACAGTTCAATATTCCATATATATAGTATAGCACTCAATAGCCGCAAAAGAGCAAAATTAATTTTGAACAAATGAAAGTGACTGATCATAGGAGTCCTGGTGGTGCAGTGGTTAGAATGCAGTATTGCAGGCTAACACTGTTCACAGCCAGGAATTCAATGCTGATTGACTTAGTGTTCCATCCTTCTGAGGTCACTAAAATGAGGACCCAGATTGTTGGGGGCAATATAGTGACGTTTGTAAACAACTCAGAGAGTGCTGTAAAGCACTATGGACCAATATATAACTCTAAGTGCTATTCCTAGTCTATTGCTAATGCTATTGCTATCATTACAATCTTACTATCATTGCTATTGCTATCATTACAATCTCATTTCAATGAGCCACATTGGCGCAGTGGTTAGCTGATCACCAGCTTGGCAGATCACCAGTTTGGCAGATCCAATCTCACCAGGCTCAAGGTTGACTCAGCCTTCCATCCTTCCAAAGTTGGTAAACTGAGGACCCAGATTGTTGGGGGCAATCTGACTCTTTAAACTGCTTAGAGAGGGCTGTAAAGCACTATGAAGCGGTATATAAGTCTATTGCTATTGCTATCTTGTATATAGGGATTTTCATTATATAGTGCTTTGCATGAAATCTCTGTTAAGGCACATGCAGTTTTCTACCCAGGTATGTATTTGCCATGTAGAGAACTGTGTCTATGAATCTTGATTATAAAAACAAATTTAATTTAATTTCAAACTTTTGCTGATGTGTTCTTTTTCAGTATGCTCTAACTAGTGTGCTGGTTCTATCTCGTTCAGTACTCTAACTTCTAAAACTGTTTAAATATCTAATGAAATGAGCTAATGGCATTCTGTGACAAACTATATCCAGACATAAATCATGTTAACATTCACAGGCTTGTAAACATTAATAAATTGAAGAGAGGAGGGGAGGGAGTGAGGGACAGATTAAATAAACAGAAAATTGGAACTGCTGGATTAAACAGTGTTTTAGGTCAAGAAATGACAAAACATGTTTTTGAGGAATTTACTATGGTTAATGAAATATTACTTTGAAAACTTTGCTTTGTTTTCATCCCTTTTACCCATTTTAAGCCTCATAAGGAAATTCTTGCCAGCAATCCTTTCTGTTCATGCAACTTTGAGAGGGTAACAGCTTCCTTGGAGAATTGAAGAAATGTTTGCCAATCCTTGTAAAGCATTTCACCTCTTCAGAGGCTAAAGCTTCTCAATACCAAGAACAATTAAAGCAAGAGCCTTGTGGAGCGACTGGGGAATTCAGCAAAATAAATCAGAAACCCTCTTCCTTGGCTCTGGAGGGTAGCCTCATTATAAGAGCAGATCTATTAGCCCCTTTGCCATTGTCTTTCATTTCTCAAGTGAGGTGATTCTAATTAAATTAATCTGCATGTCAATCTATCGGTGATCAATCAAAGAGGCTGAGGTCTCCCTTAGCGGCGCTGTGCTTGAGGCTGACAGGGGCTGATAATGGAGGAAGAAATAAACTGTCGAGCAAAGTTAATTAGTCAACATAATAGGTGGATTAAACAGGAGCCAGCTGATTGCAGTTTCACATGTTGAAGCATGAGGTGGGAGCTGAAACTGCAATTAACAGACAATTATTATATTTGGTTGTAAGAGGTCGCATGAATAAACATATCTCAGTGGGTTTCCATTTTTAATCCCCCTTCCTTGTTTAATTTAAGGAGAAGTGTAGGTCATTTCTTCTTATTGTTTTAGCAAAAGTTCTGGAAGGCAGGTTCATGGGAGGGAAGCTTTAATTAGCTTGGGATGCTTAATGAGTGGTAGTGGAATGGAAACATAGCCTTTAGGTTGAATGCGTAGTTAGGCAGTGGCAAAAAAGAACAACAATGATGCAGATACACAGATGCAGAATTTCCTTAAAACTTGAGAGAAAACAGGTTTTGTGAAAATGGCCCACCAAAATTTTCGTTGGTGATTTGTTTTGTTGATTCATCATCCCTGTTGGAATACGTCCTGTTGAATTTATAACTAACCAGGTACAGTATGGTGTTATTAATCTGTTTTTCCCCCTCCCCCCCCTCCATGATCAAACACAACAGTACATTAATATTAACGTGAACAGGCATTTATTCACAATAAGGGTGGTTGCTTTATCACCTCCATCAGGGATGTCAAACTCACGTCATCACGTGACGTATCGGGACTTTTCCCCCCTTCACTAAACTGGGTATGGGCATGGCCAACGCGTGATGCATCCGGCCCACAGGCCACAAGTTTGGCAGTCCTGATCTACATCATCTACAACACACATCTACAATGTTGTTACCTGTTTAGGGATATGAAACGTCTTCAAGAAAACAAGCAAGCTCAGAGAGCACCAAGGACCCCTCATGTCAACCCTGAGCTACAAATATCCTTTATTGGAATAAATGGCTGTCCACACATGTACTGTTGTGTTTGATCATGGTAACAGATTGACTTAATGCTAAGGCTATATTTGTTTACAGAAATCAAAATCAGTATTATTATAACTGTTATTATTTTAAATTTTAAATAAATTCTGGCAGACTCCTGGAGACTTACAGCAATGCCAGTCTGAAAGAAACAAAGGACACAAATAAAAATTACAGTACATGTTTATAATATCTCTAATCAGAAATCAGTGCATATAACATAAGTAGGTAGCTAAGCATCTAAACGCTGATGGTCAATAGTTATTCCCTGGAGGCCTTCCAGAAAATTTTGATCTTTGGTAAATTTGGGAAGGCTGTCACCAAGGGGCAAGCCTAATTTCTTGGGGGAGGCAGTTCCAGAGCATTGGTGCCAAGATGGGACACCTACCCTTCTGGGTTCAATCTTCCCCACCTCACAGAATTAGGATATCACATGGAGATTCTCCCAGAAGACCCTCAGATGAGTCAAATTTGGTAAGAGTCAAAAGTTCCGGAAATACCAAACCATGTTTGGAATTTTTGATTGAAACTAGCACTTTGAATTGTATATAGAACTCTTGCTGGTAATTAATATGGGACCTGCAAGATAAGTGTCATACAATCATAATGACTAGGGCCGAGATAAAATATTTGGATGTGATTTAAGAATACAATCCTTCAACACTGGGAGGGAGGTAGTGCTGTAGCAAGCACTAGATTTGAGTACAATTGTTAAGTGGATGACTGTTTTTATTTTCATATTTGTGTAATCGTGTCCTAATCAATATACATATGCACAATGGCTACTTCAGGCACTTAGTGAAAGTAATCTAGGAATCCATTGTTCAAAGGCAAGCACATCCTCTCACAACCCTAAGAGGCCCATTCTCTGCAACAAACAAAATTCAAGAGTTGTTTGAATATTTAAAAATCCAGGATGATTCAAACAGCAATGAGTGAACTTGCTTGCTAACATCATAAATGTGATCTACTTAAGGCAGCAGTCACCAACTTCCTGGCTCGGCAGACTGGTGGAGGTAGTGGTGGCAGCAAGGGTGGGGGAAGGGATGGTTTCACATGTGTGCCACTTTTACAAATGCAGCTTCATGTGTTCATGCCCTTGCACTCGCCCATGACTTCCATGGCTCGGTTCCGAATAGGCTGTGGTCCAGCACTGGGCCACAGATTGGGGGTTGAGATCCCTGTCTTAAGGCATCCCCTTAGTACCCTGTTATTTAACTCCTTAAAGAAAAAAATGTTTTGCAAGGTTCTCTTAATATAAATGAGACTAAATATAATAAAGAAAAGTGATGAATGAGATGGTGATAACAAGCGTAATAGTAATAATGCCAGTATTATCAATGCTGTCATCTAAAGGTGTCAGTTGTCTACTCTACTGCTTAACTCCTTAAAGTTGACATTTTTTATACAGCCTCTAAAAGGTCCTTTTAATATAAATAAGATTCAACTATAATAAATAATCACTGTTGGATCCTATTTTTGATCCATAGGGAGTACAGAAAACAATACATATTTTTATAAAAGTAACTTAATGGAAATCCTTTATCAACTTGCTCGAAAATTATATTTTATCAATAAAATTATGCTTTATTAATAAATTTATCAGCTGGTTGAGTTTGTGCTTTTTGTTTGTTTGTTTATTTATTACTAAATGTATATGCTGCCCATCTTACTGTCTAAATTTTCACATATCTTATATTGCACAGCAAAACAATATTTCTATTTCTAGTTGTTCCCATTAGGATAATGAAGTTTGCAAAAACACTAAATTCACACTTGATCGTTTGATAAAGACAAAGTCTACTTAGATTTGAAAAGCAGTATTCATTTAAGTTCTAAAATATTCTTTACGCATACAATCTTTCTTTCTTTCTACCCTGTTCAGGAGAATTTTGGACAAATGCATACATTCCAGGCTTTAGCAGTATGATGAATTCAGTTACTCTAATCCAACTTTAGCAACCAATTTTGTTTTTGCACTTGAATCAATTCTCATTTGCAGTGACAACAGTTTATCTATTCTGACATGCATGCTGAAGGATGATGTGGAGTAATATGCAGCCAACTCTTTTAAAAAGGAGTTAATAAAGCTGCTCTTGTTAAAATTATGGTTAACAGTGTATATTCCTTTATACAGCTACAAACTGTGTAATTTGACTAAATGACATCAAAAGCCTGTGATGCCAAAGACCCACTCATCAATAGCACCTCTTGTTAGAGTCATAGAGTCTAGGCATTAGTTATTATGCGAAATAGCTGTGCAATTTTCTGCCGCTCCCAGCTGTTATTTAAGATTCTGGGTTTATTAGTCTCTGTGCTTTATTTGATTTTAAATTGCATTAAAGTGTTTCCTTATATTGCTGTTCCACTTGCAGGTTGTGGTATCTACAACAGTCAATGTGGATGGCCACGTCTTGGCAGTGTCGGATAATATGTTTGTGCACAATAACTCCAAACATGGGCGGAGGGCTCGAAGGCTTGATCCTTCGGAAGGTACGCCTTCTTATCTGGAACATGGTAGGCATTTTTTGTTGGTTGCCATTTCTTCTTTCACTATGGGTCCTTGGGCTTTCTTTCCCCCTATTTTCTTCCCATGCTCAACACTGGTGCAAAATTTTGAAAATATTGCTGAAAACCAGCACCAAATTTTCAACCTATTGGAATCCATCTTATACATAGAAGTAGGGCTCAATCTTATATATGGTAGAGTTCTTACAATCACACAATTGATTATTTTTTGTAAATCTGAAGTAGCCAAGATCACTTTCTGTCAAAAGAGTGTTTCTCAACCTTGGCAACTTGAAAATGTGTGGACTTCATCTCCCAAAGTTCCCCAGTCAACATACTGGCTGGGGAATTTTGGGAGTTGAAGTCCACACACCTTCAAATTGCCAAGGTTTAGAAACAGTGCTATAGAGAATTCTTTTATGGACATTATGTTTTAAATTCACAAATACTGCTTTTTGTTATGTACATAATGTTCCTAAATATTGCTAGTTCTATGAAGTATAAGAAAGTGAGTCTCTGCAAATGTGTATATACATTGGATCAATGACTGTAAAATAGTCACGCTACATTACCTCTTTTTTTAATTCCAAGAAGCAGTAATGTTAACACGTATTTTGGATCTTATAGTGCATATCTGGAGTAGGAAAGTGAATCTGTGCCCTTTAGAAACTGTAAGAACAGGAGTCCCATTCAACATAGCCTGTATGGGGAGGAATGCTTGGTGTTGGAGTTCATCGTTTAGATGGCCACATGTTCCTTCTCTATGGCTTACAGGATGATTTTGAAATAATACGATCCTCACTCCTACACCATAACCCAATTTCAAGAATAACTTGGTGGCTGAGTCAGCAACTGAGTTTAGGGTCCAATGAGCTATCTTGCAATGACAACATGTTTACATGAATGAAATTAATATGAATCTTTAAATATTTTCTTGCAATTGTTTTTCTAAACATTTTTTTAAGACTTAGAAATGCAGTCTTACAAAGTATTCATGGATAAATCATTTTCACTATTTTAACATGGAGAAATCCTATTTATTTATTTATTTTGTTAAAATGTTTGGTTTTCATCTTTCTCCTTTAAAAAGAAACTCTGAATTGGTAAATATATAAAACAAACACAGTGTTAAAATAGTGACTAACAACTGAAACTATGCAACAACAGTACATTACTGGCACACATCTTTCTCAAAGTCTCCCTGGAAAATGAAAGCAAGAAAAATCTGAATATAACCTTTACAAGAAGCAAAGAGGATGCTGAATGTATCTTACTAGAAGCTTGCACACTCTACTTTCAAAACTGTCAGTGAAAGCTGCAGTTCTGAAATCAATCAGCAGACTGGGAGCCTTTGTGGAAACACTGTTTATCAAAGCAGAATTTTACTAGTGGTGAAAAGCTTTGTTGGGGTAGATGTATAATGACTACTACTTCCTTCTCCTCTCCCTCTATGGGCCAAATAAATCATAAATTGAGAGTAGAGGATGGTTCCTTGTAAGGGGAAGGCTAAGTAAATATAGAGTGCATTGTCACCGGTGAGTAGAATGGAAGCAAACAGTAGGTAGACCCAGAGCCAAATATGGATAGGGCACTTATTTGCTCACCCTCCTTTCCCCTGTCACTTTCTTTAACACTTTGTTTCTCTGTAACTGGCCAGGACAGGTTTCTCTTGCCAGAAGTATGAAGTGATTGCTTACAGAGGGCTTTTGAAATTAGGCCACAGACTGCATGAAATTAAACTGAGTTACTGGTTGCCCACCCATGATTTAGATAATACAAAGGCATCTTGTTCCCTCAGCGTCTCCTCCACCTTCCCAGTAAGAAGGAAAAGCTGTACCAGTCCTGGAGCAGGCCTAATGCTAGTTTCTCTCACTGATGAAAAAAAAATATATGAATAGATAAATTAAAAATTAAACAGATGTGAAAAAAGAGGATTAGACTTATGCTGTAGCTGGCCGGTCTGGCAGAGTTTAAAAAGTGATGTTTTTACCACTACGGATGGCCTTCCTCATCCATCCTCAAAGAATTGCTGGGTATGAATTTTACCTTGTGCATTAGGTCCATATTGTTTTTATTGTAAAACTAAAGACTTGCAAGTCTTAATGTACCTTCTCCTCTCTCTTTTATATTCATGAGAACTTGGGACTGAGTCACTTTATCAGATTACATTCCTATCCCCGACTCAATCTTCTTTTATCTGGCTGCTATCTTAGAAGTAGCCTCTTCTTCCTCTTGCTTCTTAAGACGACTCCCCCTTCTGTCTACATCATTTGGGTAAACAGATTGTGTTTCAGAAAGCTACGTGGACAGGTTCAGCCAGGACATGTTGAGACTGCAACAAATAGGATATTAATCTCCCACAATTCCAATTAGTATTAATATGCATGTATAAATAGCTTATGCCAATGCTAACAATATTTATCGCTTAGCATATCTGAAATTTATTCTAGGAACATGTTGAAAAACCATGCTGCATGAAAATACGAACTACCATCATTGTAGGAATCGTTGGAAAAAACACAACCTCTTTCCTCATTATTAGGCTCCCTACTATTATAACTTATCCTTTTACTTTGCATATATGTAAAACAGCTCTCTTTATGTTGTAGGAGCTACTTACAAAATAATTTTGGTCACGTGGTAAATGCATAATGTATCAGATCCACAAGTTTGCGCTTTCCAACCTAAAATTCTTAGCTCAGCAGAGTTTCTTATTATATAAACATAACTTACATCTGTATTTATTTAGCTTTAACTTTTATGTAGACCATGAGACATTTTCTGCAATAATTCATACTATAGATTTTTTCCATCCTTGCCAGCAACCTAATTTAATAAACAAACCACTGTCATAATTTTTGGCTGATTTACTAAGGAATGTTCAAGCTGTTATTTTATTAATTAGAAGGAAACGAAGTATGCAGAGAATATCTATTAATTCATCCTTGAAGTTTCTTATACAAACCAAATCCCCCCTTCTTTTTTTTATTAAAAAAAATAGGATGCAGATGTTTGGGTTTTTTTGAGGACTCAGTCAATACAGGTAGTCCCCAGTTTAAGAACAAGTTCCATTCCCAAAGTCTGTCCTTAAAGTCAAATTTGTTTGTAAACTGGACCCAGTGTAATTGTATAATACTACATAAGTACTATTGTATAATGAACATGAACCACTGTGTATTTAACTTGAATCACTGTGCATTTAACTTGAATCTTGCTATAATAGGCTCTGTTCTTAATTATGGGTCCTGTTTAAACCAGAGTGTTCTTAACCTGGGGATTTGCTGTACCTGCCAATTAGAAGGATAGGCCAGAATTCCTTCAGATTGGAAAGTTTCTGCTTTCACCCTTAGCATAAACCTACCTGCTCTAAATTTTGCTCATAGTTCTTTTCCATGTAATATGGGGAGAAAAAGGAAAATCAGATTCCAGCTAAGAGCAGGTGGTATGAAAATTCTGCTTGCATGAGTTTATACCAAATTTTGTAATTCCACAATCATATTTTAGTATTGAGATTAAAACATTACTTTTTAGAACTATGCAAAGTTCTGAAATTATTTATTTTTATTTATCACATTTATATGGCCACGCTGGGACAGCATGGTGGCTAAGCAGTTAAGATGTTTGGCTTGTCAGCTGGAAAGCTGGCAACACAGGTTCGAGACCCAAGTGCCACAGGATAGAGTGCCAGCTCCTTCCAACCTAGCAGTTTGAAAGCATGCAAATGCAAGTAGATAAATTGGTACCAGTGGGAAGGTAACAGCGCTCCATAATGTCATGCTGGCCACATGTCTGCAGAAATGTCTTAGGACATTTGGCTTAATGGTCTTGAAATGGACATGAACATAGTCTCCCATAGTCAGCAATGACTAGTGGAATAAAATCTGTAGGGACTGCTTTACTTTTTACTTTTATGACTACCCATCTCACAAGAAGTGAATCTGGGCTGCATACAGTAAAAAAAGTATAAAACAATAACCATGTGAAACATAGTCATGTTGAAGAAGTTTTTAAAAAGAAAAATCACATACAAGAAATTCAATCAGCATTAGAGTCACTTCTAGATCAAGAGCCAAGGTGGCACCGTTGTTAGAATGCAGTACTGCAGGCTACTTCTGCTGTCTGCCAGCTGCCTGTGGTTTGGCAGTTCAAGTCTGAGCAGCTCAAGGTTGACTCATCCTTCCATCCTTCCAAGGTTGGTAAAATGAGGATCTAGGTTGTTGTGGAGCAATATGCTGACTCTGTAAACCACTGTAAAGCACTGTGAAGCGGTATATAAGTCTAAGTGCTATTGCTATAAGGTACATTTACTTTAATGAATTGATGTTTTAGGGCAGGTAAGAGTTATCCAGCTGAGGTACACCATCCTTCCTTTATTGCACATGCATTGCTCTCCTTCTAAGGGCCATGTTGGTGCCTCTGCTGAAGTAAGGCAGCATTTATTCAATCTCAGAGTGAAAAAGTACCAGGCAGAGCCCTGGGTATTGGAGAAAGAGTCATACACATGGCCCTTTCTACCATGGGGATAACCAGATCTGCTACTTTGTCTGGCTTCTGTAGGGGGAGTATGGAGGGAACTCTATTGGCCTTGGTTGCCATTTCAAATTTTACCTCAATTTAAAATTATTTGACTTCACAAATGGTGGCAGGGATTAAAATCTGGTAAGAAAAAGAAGTCATGTGTATAATGAAGTCACTTTGATTTGACATCTCAGTTTCTTTTTGTTTTATTAGAAACACATTCTAAATATGCTATAATAAGTCAAGGCAGCAATCCTATGTATAGCTTTTCTAGGGAGAAAGGAATGCAAAAATAATTAGGCTTTCTTTCTGAAGAAATATCTGCAAGAAAAGATTTTGCCTGTCCACAATTTTGGACATATTTTATGCAAGCACAACATGGTACATGGTGGGCACAACATTTTGGCCCACATAAATTACATTTTTAATGATCTTGTTATCTTCAGCTGGGCTGGAATGGAAGGCCTGTGAATGCATCCTGTTCCCATAAA